GCACAGATCTTAAGTATATATATAAGTATATATAATATATATAATGTGATGAGTTCTGATCAATGCATGACTTGTGACACCAAGCCCTTAATATAGAAAGAAGTTCCATCATCCAGAAAGCTCCTTTGAGTCCCCTTAGTCAATCCAAATGTCCAATAAGCAACTTCTCTTATTCCTATCATCATAAATGAATTATTTCTGATCATAAACTTCATATAAACGAAATACATTATGTATACTTTTGTGTCTGGTTTTTCTGCTCAACATAATGCTTCTGAGACATAACACAGTTGACACTATTAGGAGTTCATTCTTTTATCTTTAATTGCTGAGTAGTATTCTATGGTACGGATATACAATTTGTTTATTTTCCTATTGATAGGTATTTGGCCTGTTTCCAGTTTTTGGCTAGTATGAACAAAGCTGCCATAATAATTCTTGCAACAAGTCTTATTAAGAAAATATATTTTCGGCACTGAATTACAGGGCAAGTGAACATTTAACTGTGTAAGAAATGGCCAAAAACAGCAGTGGTAATACTTTACACTCACGCCATCGATGCATGAGTGCCAGTTAATCCATATCCTCACTAACTTGTGGTACTGTCAGGCTACAAGAGCAGCCACTCTGGAGGGTGTGCAGTGCTATCTCATTATGGCTTTACTTTGCCTTTCTCCAATGACATTTTCCCTAATAATGCTGAGAGCTTTTCATGACCTTATTGGACATTTATAGATTTTCTTTTGTGAAATGTCTGTTCAAGCCTTTTCCCCATTTTAAAACTGGATTATCCTTTCATTATTGATTGGTAGTTTGTTATATATTCAGAAAACAAACAAACAAAAAATCTATCATCAGATAAATGCATCTCAAATCTTTTCTCTTAGTACTGTGGCTGGTCTTTTCACTTTTTAAATTTTATGATCCTACATTTTAATTTTGAAGAAGTCCAGTTTCTCTCTTTTGTTTTATAGTTAGTACTTTTTGTGTGGTCTTTAAAAATGTTTGCCTAGACCAAGGTTGTGAATGTGTTCTCCTATATTTTGTTCTAAAAGTTTTATAATTTTAGCATTTATGTTTAGGGTTATGAACCACAATGAATTAATTTTCTTGGGCAGGGGAGGAGCCAAAGTTCTTTTTTTTAACCTTTATCCAACTATTCCAGCATTACTTGTTGAGCAACTCTTCTCACTAAATTTTAATTTGTTTTAGAAAATATCTTTTTTATTGAAATGTTATTTTTGTAAGCATGTAATATTTTTATTAAAACTTCCCAGTTTTAATTTCAAATATGGTAAATAGCGAGAGACATAATCCATATAAATAAAAGTCCTTTGGGATCATCATACTTTTTTTTTTTTTTGAGATGGAGTTTCGCTCTAGTCACCCAGGCTGGAGTGCTCTGGTGCGATCTCGGCTCACTGCAACCTCTGCCTCCCAGGTTCAAGCAATTCTCCTGCCTCAGTCTCCCCTCTGTAGCTAGATTACAGCTACAGAGTAGAGTCCATAGCTAGGATTACAGCTACAGAGTGACCGGCACCTGCCACCATGCCCAGCTAATTCTGGTATTTTTAGTAGAGACGGGGTTTTACCATGTTGGCCAGGCTGGTCTTGAATTCCTGACCTCAGGTGATCCACCAGCCTCAGTCTCCCAACGTGCTGGGATTACAGGTGTGAGCCACTGCGCCCAGCTGATCATCATACTTTTTGAAGCATGTAAAAGGGTCCCAGAAGCAAAAACTCTGACAAGCACTGCTTTGGATGAGCCATGTGTGCTCTTATCTACAACCAGCCCACGCGCCTCCCCCGTGACACGCCTCACCTTCCTCAAGGACATCAAGCCAGGTTCCTTTAGGGATCCTCTCTATTGTACATCTGTCTGGATTCATGCTAAAACACCACCATTTTTTCATGACTTGTGCAAATGTCACCATGGCAGAAGAGATGAATAATGTCTTCATATTCTTGTGAAAACACTTTTGACTCTGAGCACACTCCCTGGTAGAGCCCCTGGGGCTGTTCTTGAGGGCTCCATGATCCACTACACTGTTCTGCTCTGGCTTTTAAAAACTATGTAAGACGCCCCCTCCAGGCAAAAAATTTTGTCCCTTCACACTTTTTAGGATTAGAATGAAGGCAGTAAATAATAACTAAAAAAGCTAAGGACTTAGAGACATTCTGAGATTCACAGTCATAATTCTCCTAGAAGCTATGTGACTGTGGAGAAGTCAAATCATTTTCTCTGTGTTTCAGTTTTCACATCTATAAAATGG